AGTGTGTTAGCGTGTTTGTGTGTTTGTTTTGTTTGCTTTTGTTTTTGTTTCGTTTATTTTTGTTGCTGTTTGTTTCGGGAGGTGACTTTTTCTGCGTTGTTATATTTTCTATTCATTTGCATTAATCTTTTTTTTTAATTGAAAAAGGCGCTGGGGCTAAGGCTTCTTTTTTAATTTTATTTGGTTAGGATCTGTTGGAGGTAAGCGTTAAACTCGGAGGCCCAGCCTCTTTAGCGACCTTACTATGTTTACATGGACGGTAAAGCCTTAGCTATAATGCCAAATCTGTTCCCAACAGGTGTGCACCAAGCAGTCTACAGCACGGAGCTGTTTCTCCGCACGTGCATCGAAGTGAGTCGACTATTGCTGATGTTGTCACTCAGTGTGGAGAGATACCAGTCCATTGCGCGTCCGTTCGCGGTCACGAAGGCCCAAGCCAAACGCCGAGCTAAGATCGCCATTGCCTTTTTGTGGGCAATGTCACTACTCACAGCGGCCCTTTCTGTCAGGTAAATACTCAGCACACTCACCTTGATAATATAGTTAAACTGGTGTGCACACCTGTCCTTTGCTTTGCGATATTTGTTGGATCTTACTGATGTCTGCGATCACTACTGTTCGTGTTCGTTTGTTAACTCACCGAAACATCGTTCGTTTCTTAAGATAGCTCGCATCTTTTTCTGTTTAGTATTTAAGAGCCATTAACTTTCCTTAAGCTCTTAAGTGATTCAAAATTATTATCGACCTGCTTCTCGCCTGAGTGTTTGCGGTAAAAACAGAGACAAACAGATAGAGATTTAGGTGGGCAGGGGGATGAGATAGAGATACGGGCGACGGAGATAGTGGGAACGAGAGACGGCAAGACACAGAGAGATAGAGAGAGAGGGGGGGGGAGAGAGAGCGATAAAGAGAAACATGCACACACACAGAGACAAGTGTACTCACACACACACACACACACACACACACACACACACACACACACACACATACACACAGAGATGCACACACAGACAAACGTGCCCACGTGCGCATACAACCACATACATACTCACACACACAGAT